TCAAAACTTTGGTACAAAATGTAAAAATAAAAGGTCATCACCTAGAATACTGACTTTACGAGCTACAACGAAAATCTGCCAGTGAATCCCGAGTACAGGCATCTGTTTATATAATAAGCAAATACTGGTTGGTTATCATTTGCTGTGAAGGAATTTTACGTCTTATGGGATAACATTTGTGACAGTGTGTTTACTACTTAAGATTTTCTCATCATATCTTTGCGTACTATTAGTTTCTCAAGAGGACTCTTCTCCAACGAGTTAGTGAGCAGAACCAAATTCATCCCGTTACAAGCCCACCCTCCGTCTACTCCACTAAGAGCGCGGAAATGTCCCACAACTATGGAACAATGTTCACAAACTCCCACTCTACGTTCAGCGACATAATTTATAACCGTACAAAGTCACAAGAGAACTTTACGACAATGTTCAACTAAGGACGTTCCTATCCTCCGGCCTCTTAACACCGTTTTAATGTGCGTCGTGGGGCTTAAAAGAATCGATTTAATACAAAACTATGGGCGAACACTGAAATAGTGTAGAACACTTCAGCTGAACTATGCGAGGGGATGACAGAAGTTGGAACTAAATCAGTAATTGAAAGGCTTTTGTTCTAATCCTACATAATGCACTTCACTTTGAGAACTTATCAGAGCGCGTTGTTCGTGTGACGTGCCACTTCAGACACGAACATGAAGACACGGATCTTCGATAGAACAAATCAACCACACGTAGTATATACACTGTACCTTTATGACTGAAATGCTTAATGGTAAAAAAATACTACTCTAAGTTCCATATTCTTTAACGACAATTAAATAATGTATCTTTAAACTCTACGTTACGACACGGATACCAACCTCGTTATATTCAATAATACCTTCTGAAAAGCGTTAGACTTACTACAAGTTATACGATGCTACCGGTAATGATCGACTAGATTACAACAGTTTTCTCTTGTAACATGTTATGCAAACAACACTACAATACAAACAATGACACGAAGACACATTTCAAGCTATTATAGCAGTATTAAACATGAAGATATCCGTCTTCTGGGTTGTTGCGCTGTGTAGTCTGGTTGATGTTAACCAACGTTAACATCGACCAGACTACACAGCGCAACAACCCAGAAGACAGAAATCTTCATACTCATCGCCCTGATGATGGAGGCAGTATGAGAACCTCAAGTCTTACACAGTATTAAACATCTCTATAAAATAATAAATTTAGTTATAAAGTACACTTATAATGTACTCCATTAAAGACTGCAAGAAAGAAAATACAATGCTACATGTTTCCTGATTTCAACGCCTAATGAAAATCCACGTAAAATGATCAAAACAATCATTTCAACGAACATGTGACTTGAGAATGAGCTTTCTCGTCGTAACGAATAGCTACTGCAAATGTCTGGAAACGTGCGTTCTATTTTGGCTAGTGAAACATTATAAAATAGCATGCTCTGATTAAACAGCATATTAATATACAGATAATCACTTTAAATTTAATTAATAATTTACGCATAATGAGTCTATTAATGTTGCAAGTTCATTAATTAAATAGTAATATTACGGCCTCGCTAATGATCCGAGATAGTTCAGTCAGTTAATTCTCTAAATACGCCCTTGATGGCCAAGGTTCGATTCCAAGTAGGGTAAGGAATTTCTCGATAACAAACATACTCTGGATTATAAACATCTTTACAGTATATCAGAAAAATGTCGAAGAGAATGAACAAGGAACTAAAGAAACTGTCTAAATCAGGTGCTTCATTGCATGGTTGGCGTGAGTTTGTAGGATAAAAATGCACATATACAGAACAAAACAAAATTATTTTGTGGGCTACCAAAATACTGACCAAGACTTAAATATGGTGTTGTAATATACCAACTAATATATCTTTCGAAAATATTATATAATTTAAATATATTGTAAATAACTCCAAAAAAAAACTGCTTTGGGGGTTAGGTGGCATCAAATACGGTCTGGATGTGGTGGCGGAAAGTCCGTACAACCGTCCCTACCCGGATTCGAACGCCTGTTTTCGAGTGTACCTTACCTGCCACACAAGAAAAACACGTGAAAATTACTTACTCCATACAACATTAACTGAACTATAACGTAATGCCATTACCTCTTCGTGCACATTATACATTCTACCTGCAAGAGCGTTCTGAAGTAACGGATTTGTGGTCCATAAAACATCGAGGAAGTCTTGTGTTAGTTCGATAACATTAATTTACGAATTGTCACGAAGCCAAATACGGAAAGAGAGAGCTTAAATGTGGCGTAGTGAGTGAAGAATGAGACTTATTGAAAAGCAAGGAAAGGAAACGAGAGGGTTAGAAAAAGAGTGATCGACTTACATCGCCAAAGCAATTAGTTTTCTATCAATCGAATATCTCCAATGGGATACTTCACTTAGTACTGACTTACAGTGCAGAAAAAATACTGAAGATTAATACAGCGACCTCCTATGAAGGGAGAACAAACTAATTAATTAGTTAACTAACTAACCAATTTTACTAAACAATTTTCTAACAACCGTAAAGAAACCTGAAGGTTAAACAGCGCTACAACCACATCCTGGAATTGGTCACAATTCTAAAAAGGTTTAAACTGCAAACTTACTTCCTCAAGATTTGTTAGAATTTTGTAGGATCTGAGGTTTTCATGGCGATAAGTTTAAAGATGGCGGTCTTCTGGGTTGTTGCGCGGGGTAGTCTGGCAGAAGTTTGCCGACGTTTCAGAAGTCCTTGCTACCACCATCATCAGGCAACAACCCAGAAGACAACCATCTTCCTTCCGAATTTTATTCAGCAACCCCTCTTGTCCATAACACTTTCTAAGAGATATTCGCAGTAAAGTTATATATGCAATTCCTCTTCTTCTTACGGACTACATGCACCTCACTTTTTATGGTGGGGTAAACACGTGGCTCGCAAAAGGTAGTCGTTTGAAAGAGCGTGTTAAATTTCTAGATCTTGCTACACCTTTATACATTTTGTTTCATTTTTTTTATTATTTTATTTAGTGTTCTGTCTGACGACAGGTCCATATGAACAGGATCCTTCCATCCTTTTCTCGGACTGGGACCTGTTCATATACGTTCTTGGCAGATGATCCAGAAGTGGTTTGCCATTGCCTTCTTCTGTGTGTGAATGGAGTAATTGTCGGGATGCCACGGAGGAAAACTCCGTGTTGCCTAGACCACGGCCTTGCCCAACACAAGTTATAAATTCGGGCACCGCCGGAAATCGAACCCGAGACCCCCAGGATTACAAGGCCAGCGTTCTAACCGCTAGACCACCGTGGCGGTATATTTGTTTCATACAAATATGTAACTATTCTAAGGTGAATTACAAACAGCCCTATGCACAACTCTAACAGTAGAATATTACCCCTTGTCGGCTATCCGTACCGCTTATATAACACATTAGTAGATAATGGACTAATGTGACGGTCATTTTATTCGTACAATCACCCTGATGATGGAAGTAAAAAGCGCCTTTGAAACGTCGGTAAGCTTCTACCAGACCATAAGATCCAGCCATCTTCATACTCGCCGCAGTGAGACTGAAATCTCACATAGAGTTTTTGTTTTAATTTTTGCGCTTGTAGATAGGAGACGAGACGATGCTTATTCTGAAGTGAAGTAAACGCAGACGCCATATTATGAGACGCGTATCAGTCAGGCAGAAACCTTGAACTGCTTCTTTGTACAGAAAGTTAGGATTGCGATTGGTTCCGATACCATCGTCTATTCAAAGCGACGCACACTGCAGAAATGCATACTGAAGTAGGCGACGCGCGATATATAAATCGCACGATATGATTCTAAATCTAAAAACCAAACGACTACATATTTCCCAGTCTTCTATATTATTGTGAAACTTCGTTTCTCACCTTCAGGAAATAACATAGATTAAGAGCATTTAAGAACAAAATGCTGAGGAAAATATTTGAACCTAGGAAATAATAATTTTCGTAATTTATATTTTAAAACAATTTTACAAGACTGATTATAGTAAGGAGGATGTGATGGACCAAGCATCTAGTATTGCGACAAAATCCACACACGACTGTTTTCCTTGATTACACTTGCTATCACGTTGATGCTAAATTCATTCTTCCCATGTAACAAATGGTAGAAACGTCATATTTGTTAGGAGTGTGTTACTAGTTATTTTGCTACAAAGTTTAAAAGTTTAAAAATTTATGAGATTATTGCTGTTTAACGTATCAGAATCTTGTTAACAGCCGGCATGGATGCCTCATCCCTACTGACTTTACAATTCGCAAGTACTGCGAGCTTGTGATACCTAAACTAATGAGCTCAGAGCGGGGGGGGGGGGTTCCCCCTCGTAATTTCTGGCTGCGTGCAGACTTGAAGCACTCCAGCTTCGACGTAATATAACAGAAAAGTCCAGGAAGAGATTGAAGAAAGAAACAGAAGTAGAGAAAATAAAAAGGAAGGTTGGATGACTAAGTTCATTGTGCGATTTAATGAACGTGCTTTAAGGATGCTTCTGGATTGTCGCATTGGATGAAAATTGGTACACCGTTTCCGCAGGCCACGTGACGACGCACAGCGCCACAGTCTGCTTCATGATAACGGAAGATAATGAGTGAAAGAGAAGAATTAGCTTTCGGGATTACGAAAATGTGACTATGAGGTTCGGAGGTTGGGGTCGATGAGGCGGAGAAAATTTACTAGAATACGTATTCGTTTACAATTTTACAATCCTCAGCACAGGCCTAGTAGCAATTAAGTACTTTAAAAATTCAGCAAATAATATTACTATAAAAGACGGACAATGACGTCACTGAAACAAAGCAAACTACCATTATGCTGCAACATTTTGTATCTTTTATGTAATTTAATAAGATGAAAATTATTCCGCGTTTCTCTAAACTTGCTTCAATACCATTCCAGTTCCAATTTCAATACCCTGAAACGTAATTACTTTATTAATGGCGACTTTAACTTTACTTACACAACTTCTGCAGATCTGCAGTCGACTGAATCTCTCGTCTCTGCTTGTGTTGGAGCCACTTCGCTTTCTTGCCTTCTCCCGCCTTTTCTGCCCTGTAGGAAGGAGAGAAAAAGTTTAAAACGAGTTCTTATCTCGCACTCTTTTTATCGATGCCCGTTTTAGTTTTCTTAACTAACAAACTTCTCACTCAATTTTCGGATTAATCTCTTCCCCTTGTTGCCATTCCACCCGCATACTTTTACGTTTCACTTCCAACCACTTAGTTTTCTAACCCCCTTATATATAACCCTATGTCCTTATCTTAAACTCAGTCCTTTGTCCAGTGGTGACCAAACTTCATCTTCAGCCACATGCGACTTCCAACACCACCAAATCATCGACTCTGAGAAGTTATGTCTTAAAAAGTTCAAAAACGAAACTGACCATAATCGCACTCCCCACTGAAAAAACACATTTTTACAAATTAACCCTATAAGGCAGGGTGTTTACAGTATCTTCAGAAACTGATAACTTCTAGGCTGTTAAAGAAATTCTTCGATTGTTATTTTAATGTGGAGGTTCATTACCGTCTTCACAGTCCGCCATTAGACCCTTATCATGAGTCCGATGAACGCCATCCACACCCTCATACCAACTTCTACTAAGATTTATATTAATGTTATCCTTCTATTTAAGCCTAGAAATACAAAGTTCTCTGTTCACGTGAGGCTTTCGAACAAACATTCTTTATGCATTTCTGAGTTATTTTATGGACCGCTCAACTCACCCGCCTTAGTTTGTTCACAATGTTTCCTGAAGAAAAAATAGTAAACACATACAAAAAATTCTCCACTGCTATGAGGGGCATCTGCTCTGTTTGACCTCGCAGCCCCAATCATCATCAGAATATCACTCAGAGTTTCTCTGAGAACAGACTCCAAATATCTACCCTTGCCTACCATTTGCTTTTCCAAAGCTTTACATTTCAGTGACGAGCTGCTTCAACAACGTCTTGAAGTTACGCTCTTTCCTTTTTGTGCTGACTGAACTGTACACTCTCTCATTCACCAGTTCATATTTCAAATGAAGTCAATTTGATGTTCTAGCCCATTCACACGCTCTTACAAGAGACTTGCCTTGAATCACTGACTTAGCCCGGGCGTTATTTTTCTCTTCTTTAAAGGAAATACCGTTACGTACAAGGTCTACATATCCACTGATGAATGGGACATAACTACTTTAATTCTTTGACAAACGAAGTTAATCTAAACAACATTGAAAGATTCACTTCCTACCCCAAAGGAAAGGGTTCGATTCCCGGCGATGCCCGAATTTATAACTTGTGTTGGGCAAAGCCGTGGTCTAGGCAACACGGAGTTTTCCTCCGGGGGCTTCCCCGGTTTCTCCGTGGCATCCCAACAATTACTCCATTCACACACAGAAGAAGGCAATGGCAAACCACCTCTGGATCATCTGCCAAGAACGTATATGAACAGGTCCCAGTCCGAGAAAAAGATGGAAGGATCCTGTTCATATGGACCTATCG